TAGATCTCTGCTGAACATGTATGAAAGGCAGGGAATTCAGGCAATTTAGCTCCTCAAACATAGATCTTAAGCAATTAACTTAAAAGACAATGTTTACACAGACACTTAAGGATCATCTTGGTCAACATTTGAGCATGAAAGAGAAAAAAGTACTTAATCAGGAATAAATTTCTTTAGCACAGAGCAATGGCATATGCACATGTACATACAGCACCTGCCTAAAGACAATACTATGATCAAGTCATCACAACTGATTGTGCTACAGTGGTACAGCAAGCTGGTGCCTCATCTTCTGCAAGGACCTGCCCTCAGCTGAACAGCATTGCAATGGGGTTAAGAGAACTTCAGCTAAATGTTTAGCTAAACTTCACAAAGATGATGGATATGGCTAATAGCTCTGATGGACATGAGAACTATAATACATTTGCAGAGAAGAAGGGAGCAAACCCAGATTTCTAATTTTGTTTTAAGATACCCTATAAAGATTTATAGTACAGCTATATAATCCCGCAGCACAGGATGAAAAATATGAATTTTTTTTTCATTTCAAAAATTTTTTCATACCTATGAAAAAAACAATGGAAGTCCATAAACTAACTTTCTCAAGTCAGACTCTTAGCTTATTACCTCTGTCACCTGTTCAGGACAGTCACCAACCCGTCAGAGCAAAGCTACCATTTTCTAATTATAGCTGAGCTTGTAGCAGAGGGAACTCTGTTATATAATCTTAAGCAACAAGAATAGCAGAAATGTCAAAGGAATCTTACTAAAGCAAGAAAGTATTGTTCGCCTGCTTTGCTTATCAATTTGCATCTACATTCGGATGCAAGATTATATACACCAGGTTGCATACTTATTCCAAGAAATGCTAGTTGCTCTGATTACCCTAGGGAAAAGTTTATGTTCTTTCATGTTGTAGCTGGAGCAAATAAGAATCATTGTAAATATCCATTCTTCTTCACTGAAATCTTAGAATGACAGCTGCACAACTCACCCAATCTGTGTATTTTTGCAGAACGCATAGGATGGTTGAGGTTTCCTTTCAAATTTTTTTCACGCTCCATTTTATATTTTCATATTATTCTCATCCTCTGAATGCAGAGAAATAGGAATGGGCCTATTTCTTCACACATTAATGAGGCATTGTCCTGGCTATACATTGCCACTAAGTAAAGAATATCTGCCAGCTCCTTAGTCAGTGGACACCAGGTAAGTCTTTTCAAGTCAGTAAAACTTTGAAGCTTTAGGCTATCTAAACACTATATTCAGAGAGTTAATGTGGATCATTCCTGACTATTGCATGCAGCTATGAAAAAATCTCATTTACAAATTAAACTTCTCCTTTTGACCTCCTTCCTCCATCTGTCCTCTGCTACTTAAAACACTGTCTGTCCTTTTTTTTTTTCAAAAGTTGTTAGCAAATGCCAGAGATAAGCCATTACTATAATTTACACCTAACATCACAGCAGCCTAATACCAAAGAGCTTACAGGTTTGCTTTGACAACCCAAGACAAATGTCATATGTGGAGAACACAAAGATACAGGATCAGAGTCTCATCTGCTCTGCAACCTAGTGTATGAAATATAAATAGATCGAGATGTCTCTTTGATACTGCTTATTTCTCATGCATTCAAGCAGACTCCTTAGGAAATCTCATCCCTTATCACAGCATCGAACAGTAGCACTATTATAAGGCTTAAAACCATACGCAAACATCCAACACCACATAAAATTCTGTTCCTCAAATGCAGGTGGGTTGAGCTAGTAGTTCTTCCTGCCCTGCTCACTCCCAGTCCATTTCAGGATCCCAGTGGTGCTCCGTGCCTCCTGTAATATTTCCAGTGTCTTCCTCCAAACTACCCATCCCAATAACAGCAGCACATCCCCCCAACTACATCCTTCCCTAACTTGCAACTGCCACATTCTTACCTCTTTCTTTTGCTTTTAGGAAGCAGAACAAGAGGTGCTCCTACTGCATGGGAAATTTGTCTTTCCAGTCCTTGCAGGTCTAAAGACTACTGCCAACCTATCATTAGGATGGGGTGTACTACAGGAGATAACAGCAAGTGGAGGTCCAATTTTTTCTTGGTTAAACCAGGCATGTCCATGTGGTCCGCATACTTATAATGCCATAAGTATCTTCAAGGAGATCTTAAGGGAATGATTTCAGAGCAGGAGGTGACAGGAATACAGTATGGCCAGATCATCTGGAAAACCAGATGACATTCGCATCATCTTTATTACTGTCTATGGTCATACTTAACATCCCAGACTTTGTCTCACACTGTATTGAGCAGAAGAAAGGTGAAGGTCAGTGAAACCTGCTACTCACTTACAGATCGCAGTGATGTTCTGCTCAGTGGAGCAATGTTTGATCTCATATACGTAGGTTATAACTTAAGTATCTGCCATCCCACCACGATAGCATCCTGGGGTGCTCCTCCAGCTTGCTTTATTCCACTTCTTTTTCTTTTTGTCCATTCCAAGCCTCACTTCATCAGACTATTGCATACAGACTACTGAAACATGCAAGGCACACAACATCCTAGCTTTTACTTCTTGCTTCCATTTTAGTACTTCATTAATAGCTTTTCATTGGTTTTAAGCCCACCACAAACCTGTTTCAACTGACTGCAGACCTTGTCTAATTCCTGTCCATTCCATTTCCCTAAGCTTGTTTAGTACTTGCCTCTTTATTGGTATAGCGCTGGGGCTGGCCAGATATCAGGAGGTGAGGGTAAATTAAGAGAATCAAAAAAATTATCCAGTGAATACTGCAACAGAATACACTACCCATACAATCAAATAGTCTCCATCAGTCAATCTCAAACACCTTTGTGGCCAGACTTCCATTTCTCTGTCACTGTACTATCAAAGCTCCTCTTTCTAAATGGAAGAAAAATTTAGGAAAGTTAGCTAAACCAATCGTTGCAAAAGAAGATATGTTAGTGACATCACATATGAGCAAGACAACTTATTCCATGAGTTGCTGTCACATTTGTGGTAATATCTTCTGGAGACAAATTACAGGAATTCAGTTCAAAAATCAATCTTAGCTGCTAACAGGAACAAAGCCAGATGTGAAGTGGTGGCCTGGGAGATGTAGAAAGGAGTGTAATGACTTGATCCTGCAGTGATTGTTAAACACTGTTTGTGTGTCATACAGATACGTGTTTAGTAGCTTCCCCTCTACAACTTAGATGATAAATCCCATCACATCCCAGCTGCAACAAAACAGTCCTCTTAAAAAGCAGTAGAGAAGGGGCATTCTCAGGTCCTTCTCCTCAGGGCTGCTCTCGATCCATTCCCCGCCCAGCCTGTATTTGTGCTTGGCATTGTCCCGACCCAGGTGCAGGGACTTTGCACTTGGCCTTGTTGAAATTCATGAGGTTTGCATGGGCCCACCTCTCCAGCCTGTCCAGGTCCCTCTGGATGGCATCCCTCCCCTCCAGTCTACCTCCCCACACAGCTTGGTATCATCAGCAAACTTGCTGAGGGTGTACTCAACCCCACTGTCCATGGCTCCGACAAAGATGTTGAACAGCACGGGTCCCAGTACCGACCCCTGAGGAATGCCACTTGTCACTGGTTTCCACTTGGACATCGAGCCGTTGACCACAGCTCTTTGTGTGCGATTGTCCAGCCAGTTCCTTATCCACTGAGTGATCCACCTGTTCAATCCATGTCCCTCCAATTTAGAGACCAGGATATTGTGCAGGACAGTGTCAAACACTTTGCACTAGTCCAGGTAGATGACATAAGTTGCTCTTCCCTTGTCCACTGCCGCTGTAACCCCTTCGTAGAAGGCCACCAAATTTGTCAGGCATGACCTGCCCTTGGTGAAGCCATGCTGGCTGCTACTAATCACCTCCTTATTTCCCATGTGCCTTAGCAGAGTTTCCAGGAGGATCTGCTCCATGATCCTGCCAGGCACAGAGGTGAGACTGACTGGCCTGTAGTTCCTCAGGTCTTCCTTTTTTCCCTTTTGAAAGTAGGAGTTATGTTTCCCCTTTTCCAGTCAGGGAAATCTCACAGTGAATCACAGTCACTCTAATCCAATCTCACAGTGACTCTAAAAATTTTTACAGGATGAATTTTTCTTGGGGCCTGTGTGCCTTGACTCTTTCTGTAGTTCCCAGGGGAGCAAAATGAATATGCAAAGCTCAGTGAGGAACAGCCTTTTACAGAGGAATCACCAGCTCACCAAACTGAACCCCAACTTCACTTCATTCTGAGGTTTGTCGAACCTCACGGTGAAGTCCTGGACTTGAGAAGCAAGATCACCTCACTTCCTGATCTTCATCTGAACAGGACGCAAACAACTAGATCAGGCACTCACTACTTGTAAAGTCCAGCTTTAAGTGGCATCAAATTACATTTTGATAAAATATGATAGGCTCAAACCTCTGTTAAATCATGGACAGCTGGCACCTTATTAATCTTTGATTTCACAGCAGTCTCCTTGTGCTGCCACCTTTGCTTCCTGACATCTCAGCCTTTTGAGAGTAAACGACTGGCAAAAACAACATTGCCAAATCTGAAGGACTTAACTTCCAATTTAAACCAAAATCAATCTCATTACAGTGTTTCCTGCCTACATTGATCTTTCTGCCCAGGACTTCAGAACATCAGTCCAGCCAGGGTAGACATCTGGAGTAGATAGTTACCAAAGCTGAGTAAAAAATGATTCAAGGGTACATTGCAAAAGATGTCTTCACAAACGTCTCCCTCTTCTGTGAAGAGTTCAAGGAAACACACACCACTGCTAACCCTTCCCTTCTTGCAGGTCTCATCCTCCAAGGACAGGTTAAAAGCATGGTCAGGAATGACCTTAGCAGCTCCTTAGAGCTATCAAAGACTGATTCAAACATAACTCATATCTCATCCATGTCAAGTGGGAAACTGCTGTTGAAATACAGGACACTGTAACATGCATTGGAATAGCACCAGCACCTTAAGACAGAAAACACTGCAACACCGTAGTGGCTTAATACTCACACTCAGCAGGAGGCACTTGTTTTCTTTGATGGCGCCTATGCAGCCCACGAAGCCAATGATCATGACAAATGTCCCTGTGACGATCAGTAGGTTGGCAGCTGACAGGGACGGGAAAGAAGAGGAGAGGGTGGCAAAGTTCCCTTGGGTAACAGCCAGCCAGATGCCTACTCCAAGGATTCCACAGCCTCCCAACTGAAAAAAATGAAGAGAAACAAAGAAACTCAGTTATCGTGTCCAAGTAGCCCCAGATATTAATCCATATCAATATGGCAGCAGTGGAACAGCTCTGCTGTGGTAAACCCAGCAGTCACACCTAATAAGAAATGATCTCTTCCCATGCCCCTTTAAGAAGGGAAAACAGACAAAGCAGAGAGAAGAAAAAATATAGAGGGGCAACCCATTAGTAAGATGTTACACTCAAGAAAAAGACCCAGATTTCCTAAATCCAAGACATAACTTTGAAAAAACAGGTCTCTTCCCCTCTAGTGAAAAAGCAGACACTGAGTAAAAGAGAAATTCCCAAAGATTCAGATCTCAAAGGGACTGAAAAAACCCCATATCCTATGTAGGTACATCAGAGAGCTGCCCAGAATGGCTGAAGCACTTTTGGTCCCATGTTCTTTCCATCCCAATACACCATCTCCCATCCCTGACACATGCCATCAACAAATCTTGCCAGAGCATCCCCTTGTAGGGCACCTCACACCTCTTCTTATTTAGTTCCTGTCCAAGGTCTAGCCTCCCTTGGAAGCAAGAGAACATTTAGAGTGTAAAGGGGCCAGAGAAGGAGGGAGAATGCCCCCGTAGCATTAAAAAAAATCAAACAGATGTTTACTTCTAATGTGGCCACTGGTTTGGTAATTCAATCTTCAGAAGAGGACTTGTCTGCTTCAGGAAAAGTTTGAGGGGAGCAGTAGTACAAGCTCCCCAGGCATGTGAGCAAGGAGAACGGAGGATGCCAGTGCAGTTAGCAGTCACCACAAAACCATAACATTTACAATTATTACGTACACGAGGAACTTTTAAAAAATGCAAACATTTGTAAGTGTGCTGCTTATAACTGTGAGAAAGCCTGCAGAATTGTAACAATCTGAGTAAAGCTGGGCAATTAAATAGAATTAAACCAAAGGGGGTTTTGCATTATTATAAAGTCACACAGCAGAGTATCACTTAGGTTTCTTTCTTTCCTGGTCTCGCTTTTTATTGAGTTTTATAATTTTTATTGAGTTTTATAATTGCACTTTATTATCCAAATCAATTAAAGGCTAGGAAAGAAATTGTGTTCATAGAGTAGTAACCGAGACATAGGAGCATATCAATTAAATATCTGCATAAAGTGGATGAACATAAAGCAGCTCATGAACCAGGGAAGGAAAAAGACAGAGCTAATCCTGGGGTAGAGCTAAGCCTCAGAAATTAAACACAGAAGAGAAAACAAAAGCCGAAGCAATTTCTGAGTAGTAAGTTGCCTCTGCATGCCACTGAATTGCCCCTCAATAAGGGACAACAAAGGCGGCTGTGTCTCAAGGCAGGACTCCTCATGCCAGTTGCAAACCAGTCTGTTTTGTACAGAACTAAGGAGTCAAACTATACCTCATCGTAACGTACCTCAGCTGCATCAACCTGTGTGTCTCCACTGAGAGAAGGCAGACTTCAGGACACAGGGACCCAAATAATTTCATTCAGCAGCCTTTTCATATACAGGCATCCCACCACCCTTTCACAAAATACCCTCTACAAGCACCATGGAGGGACAGTCCATGCCCTGACCATATGCACTGGAAATACCTCCCCTCTATGTTCACTTATGGACCATGATCTTTAACATGGTCTAAAATGATTGAAGAATGACCAGGAGAGAAGAGATGGATGAATACTTAAAGAAGGTAACCCATAGAAAATCATTTAGGGTAACTCAGGGGACATAAACAAAAGCTATCAACGTAGCCCAAGGAAAAAATATGGGAAAAAAATAGGAATAAATTCTCTAAAATGCGAATAAAACTCTGAAGGTCTACTGGACTACAGAACAACATCAAAGGAGAGGTAGCAGACACCCAAGTTAAAACTGAACTGGTCAGAGCGCCGAAATACAGTCAGAAATGGCACTATTAGGAAGGAAAGGAAATACAGTCAGGAATAGCACTAATAGGTCGAGGAACAGGATGGAAAGCATAGAGGTACCTCTGCCTCTGCAGTCTGGTGGACATTCTGCCTCAAAATCAGCCTCAGAACCTCAGGCACAGTGAGGCCGCACAAATGGCCCAATTAAGCCTAAGGAAGGCAGGTGCCCAGCACCAGCAGAGGCATCACCTGGCAATACGTTGACCTATTATCTTCAGTTAATTGTTTCTGAAGCAATTCAACAGCAGCAATAGGAGGCAGCTTATTTCACCACCTTTCATGTTGCTACACTGCTTTGAGTGATACTTAAACTTACAACTATCATTTGTATTATGGGAGGTGGGTCTTGCTGAGGACACTGCTGTGTTTGGTAAAGGCAAGACCTGCTTGCCTGCTCCTCCGTTGCCCATTAAATTCTGTATAATGCATAATGCTTGAGACATCGTTGCCTTTTGGATAGTTGATTCCAACATCTTCTCCCTCCATAGTCATTCTTGTCTGCAGAAACTAGGAATTCACCAGCGGCACAAAACATCACAAAACCAAGAGTTTTGCAAGTTTGTGCAAGTTTGTGCAAAATGCTGTGACTGTGACTGTACCCATTTAGATCAAGGCTGAATATTTCAGGTGAGTCGGTCAGCAGGAGTATCTCACTACATTACCCTCAATTCAGAGATACTCTAACATACATCAGGCTCTCTAGCAGCTCATTATCTTCCTGTTTTTGAAGAGATAATGCACAGCTCTTCCTTAGGCTGATTAACCAAACCCTGAAATGCACAAAGGGATCCTTTGAGCATTAAATCACCAGGCTCAAACTGGATTTCTCGAAGTGCTGCTTAAGAAACATCAGCACACACTACTAAGGGCTGCTCCACCTTAGTTCAGCCTTTTCCCACACCAGAGCGTCCCCTCACGGTCCTTGAATAATGTCGCCAAGCTGTCACATCAGGCCGGGAAAAAAAGGCTGCCCTTAACTCTAGTCTAAACTGCTCTTTAAAGTCCCCTTTCCACCAAGGAGTGAAGCACACCTGTAAGTGTCCATCCAATGACCATAATAACACTCAAGCACCTGGTTAAGGAAATGCTTAAGGGAACCAAGAACCACCAAGACAGCCACAGGAACCTTTCCAGTGATAGCAGAATATTTTCTACTCCCAAACATTCAAAAAGCTCACTTCTAACCCATCCCCTAGCCCCATTCTGAACTGAACAGCAGCGTAATTCCCAGTCTAACATCAGAAGGATCACATTTATTTATTCTGGATCAGAATGAAGAGAAAACTATTGTAATTGGTTCTATGCTGCCTGTCTGGTTCGATTTCTTCATCTTGGCATCTAAGGAGCTGTTAAGTAACAGATAATTTTACTTAGTTATTTATGATGTTCCCTTTCCTCCACTTTTTGTGTCCCTACTCCATACCCAACCCCCAGTCCCTGTTTGTGGCAAACAGTAACAAGAGGAGTGATGAGATGATAATTCTTGACAGCTTTCAGGGCTTGCCGAGATGTGAAATTAAACAAAACCAAAACCATTAACAGGGCTACTAATTGGGGGCTTCCAAGCAAACAGTGAAGCTGTCATGGTGAAAAGAGAAAACATTAAAACAAAAAGATTATCGAGAAGCCTACAGCTTGAACCTGATCTATTGGCAGCCAAATATGATTCTGTATTGATTCCATGTGGTGAGTGCAGGTTTGACTTTTTTTAAAAAAAACACAAATCCCCCTCAAAGATATCAGACTACTGACAACACCATTTTTTAATTCCCTTGTGAAATGTTTAACATATTATTTGCCGAATTGTTCATGATAATCCAATGTCTTGTAAACAAGGCAGCTCATGGCAAAACCTGAAACGAAATGCAGCTTCCTCTAACGTTTTTGGGTTTTTTTTAATAGATGTTGCATTTTTTTGGTAAAATCTTTTATTCTAAGGCCAAAACAGTGGGACACCAGAAAGGATGGTGTCACAGCCCTAAGACTTAGGAGCTTTGAGTTAAGTGTTTGTTCCAGGACAGACCTCAGTGTAAATCTGGAACAGGCTGTTCAGTGGTCTGTGCCTCAGTTGCAAAACCATGAATACAAAAACACGAACAGTGGGTTCTTTGCAAGACCTGGACCTTGCAATTGGCTGTGGAAGGAACAGTTTATTCTGCCCAAGACAAATTGCTCATAGGCATTTATACAGCTGAGTCAAACAGTAAAGTGGGTGGCTTACTCTAAAAGCATAGATTCAGTCTGTCTCTTCTTCCCCAAGAGATACACAGACACGTGTGCACTCGCTCTCTTGGCAGAAAAGCTGCCTACGGAATTAGATCCTCCAAATTGTTCTAATGGGCTAGAAAATAAATAATTCAGACTTCAGTGCATGCATTTGGAATTGATCTTACAGTATGGTAAACAATGTAATCCCAAACAGCCCTGGATATATGCATGTTGCTGGAGAAAATAATTCTGAAGTTACAGCTACGCACTTAAAATACTGCAAGAGAAATTGTCTCATTGTTCATGATAATGGCTTTGGTGTCTTTAAGTGGGTTTTTTAGTGGTTTTATTACACAGAAAATGCATCTAATTGAGGCTTCTCATATTGTATCTGATTAGGATCTACCCATCATACTCCCTCTTTTAGACAAAAAAAAAATATTCCTTGGATATTAAAAAATACAAATAACAGAATGCAAGTGGAAGGTATGACCAGTTGTTCTGTAGTTAAACTAACTAACATGGAGGGTTTTTCCTCCCCCAGTCTCTACATATTTAAGCCAGAAAGGCTTTCTCAAACCCACTTGCTATCCAGTCCCTCCTATGTAAATACGCTTCCCCTTCTAACTATGGAGTAAGAGTATACAATGGAAAAATCAACACCAAAGTATTAATAGTAGTGATGTGAACATTATCCAGCAAATGTTCTTGTAATGTAAGGCATACTTAAATTACTGTTCGTTTCAGCTAGACACATAGAGGAGGTGGAAATGGAATACATATATACATTGACAGGATCAAATGAATCGAGAATCTTACATAGAAAAAGCAGAAGCATGTGCGCTAATGCAGAGACCCCG